GGCGGCTGGGCCCTGCTGCTGCCCTTCGTTCCGCCCGCCTCCTTCTGAGGGGGGCTGAGGCCGTCGAGCGGGCGCTGTGGAGCGGTGTCAACCGGGCAACAGTTATTTGGCAAAGGGAGCGCTTGGCTGCGCTGCCGGAGTGAGGAGCGGTGAGCGGCGCTGGATGGGTGTACGGTGTGGATCGCTTCCCGCTAGCAGTGAGGTGGAGGAAGGCTGCTGTTGAGGCGCTGATAAACGAGCGGCTTCTCTCCAGGCTCCGCTGGTGAGCAGGGGCTTGGATCTGAGTGAGTTTGTGAGTGAGTCACAACTTGGTTGGATTCAGCATTCCCCACCACCACCACCACCACCTCCACCCCCTGCCTCTCCAGGCAAAGTTAAGTGTGTGTTTCTGCGTTTTTGAGGGGATGTTTATGATGACGGCCCTTCCAGGGCTCTAGAAACGGGAGAGGAATCTGCGCATAAGCCATTAATACCGTGTTACTCCAAGAGAAGTTTCTCATAGTCTATACACTTATAAGCAAACTTTCTAGGAAGTCTTTGGCCCAGTCTTCAGAAGGTACTGACAAACTGACTCTTCCGCTCTTGCCCCCCATTAGTAAGTGACCATGAACATCCTTTCAATCACAGTTCTTCCTATCGAGTTGACAAAACTACTCCTTGAGGTATTATCTGTACGTTAGTTCATCATAATTCCCTTCGTCTCTGTAGAAGACAAGCTCTTACAAGATTACGAGCTTATTTTAGAGCCAGTGTTTGATAATTATCCTGATTATTGCGTTGCCACTGCATTTCTTCCTGACTTGAAGAAAATGTTTATTTACAGTGTCCGTGGGGAGCCCCGAACACAACATCAATATCATGTTCCCTTGCTGACGTAATGAGTGAACAGCTGGCAAAAGAGCTGCAGCTGGAAGAAGAAAATGCTGCTTTTCCTGAAGTGGTTGCGTAAGTTTAAATCCTGGATTACTGATCTCCATAGTTGTGAAGCCATCTTCTCTCTCTTGTGCATTTTCTTACAGTGTGCTTAAGGTGTAGCAATATAGGGAATGCTTTGCCTATTATCTCCTAACTGTGCTGCTTCAGGGTTTTTTTTCAGTGAAGATGGCTTCCCCAGTTAAAACTGTTCCTTAGACTCTTTTCTCTGTCACCCGCCCTTCTTTCTTGATATTTTCTTCACGTTGTTTTGGGTGCTTTAAACTAGTCTATAAGCTACATTTTGAGAAAAGTTGTCAGAATTTTTTTCCCCCTTTTAAAAATTCTTACTAACAGTGTACAATGTTATTTCTAGAACTGTCAGGTGTATCACCTGTATCCTCCTCATACTTCAGCTCTAAACATAGGCCAAGAGTTTGCTAGTGCTAAAGTCATACAAATTTTGCCTGTGGTCCTTTTTGTGAAGAGCAAAGCAAAGCAGAGCAAAGCAACACTGTTTTGTTTTTTTTTTTTTTTTAAATTTGTATTTATTTCTTTATAATAATATATGTATGCATACACCTGTATGCTGTCTTTGCCTTTCATGAAGGGCATCTTAAAACTAGAGCCTAATGCTTCTTACAGAATGGTAAGAAGTAAAAGTAAAGTAAACAAGTAAAAGTTTAAGTAATATTTGCGTTGTAAAGGAGTAGAAAAGAAAAATGAAGTCATGCTCTATTAATATTTAGTGTTGGCTTAGAGGTGGGGGCGGACGGTTGAGATCTATTAGTTTCTATGCAGGTTGGCATGAGGTCTTTATTGTATAGAGTGATGAAATGGTATAAAGCGGCGTTTCTGTTTAGATTAGTGTTTAATTTTTTAAACCTCTGTTTTCATTTTACATAGTGTTGCTGAAGGACCGTTTATTACAGGAGAAAATATTGACACTTCTAGTGACCTAATGCTAGCTCAGATGCTGCAGATGGAATTTGACAGGGAATATGATGCACAGCTTCGGCGTGAAGAGAAGAAGATCAATGGAGATAGCAAAGGTAGCCTCATCAGAAGAAATATTTTTGCTTCAAACTTATTCTTGGCACTCTGCTTAAGTTGACAGAGCTGCGAGAAAGTAGCAAATCCCTGATAATCACAGCCATGCTTATTTGTTTTGTTTCTTAAGTCTCCATATCCTTCGAAAATTATCGGAAGGTGCATCCCTATGACAGTGACAGCTCAGAGGATGAGGTTGATTGGCAGGATACCCGTCATGATCCTTATAGAGCAGGTATGTGGCAGTTTTAAACAATACACTTTCTTTGGTTATTAGACCTAAGAATATGACATAGTTAAATTAGTTTTTTTGAATGTAAGGAGACATACCAGTTGTATGTAAAATCAGGTCATCTAATTGGGAGGTGTTATGCAGGAAGTTGGGTGGGTAACTTCTGGCTTCTGTCTGCCAGTATATTTGCTTTGGTGGCTGAATCTGGTAAAGTAACTATTGTACATGGAAATTATTGTGGGATATGCATATCTGGCATCTATGTTTGGCTAGGGGCATCTGCACATGATATTGAGTATTCCTGTCTTTAACATGCCAAAAGTGTGTCTGACACCCCAGACAAGACAGAGAAATAACTCATAACTTAGCAAAAGAAGCTGTCATGTTTAGGGTAGGAGAAGACTGCATTAAGATCATACAATTGAAGTATTTTATTCTGTTTAATAAATAAAATGATGTTACACTTGTGGGCATTGTGGAACCTTCATAAGCATTGGTTATGTTTGTTTAGATGTAAAATTAGATTTCTTTTTCTCACCATTGGCAGATAAACCTACTACAACACCAAGAAAGGGCTTTATAGGAAAAGGAAAAGATATTACTACTAAACATGATGAAGTGGTATGTGGAAGAAAGAACACTGCTCGCATGGAAAATGTAAGTAAAAACTTATTTTGTGTGTAAAACTGGAATGCTGTAATTCAGCCAAAGAACTAATGCTTGTCCATCTGTGCTACTGTATACAGTGCTGATTTTTTTTTTTTTTTTTTTTCCCCATCACATGAAAGCAATGCAATGTCTGGATTAGTTATTCAAATTGGCAGTTTGAGTTGTGCGGGTTTCTTGTTTAATAATGGTTTGTTAATGACCATGATTCAAGAATTTGCACAGAACTGTTTTGACAAAACAAAACTATCAGCAAGTTTGGTACACAGGCAAATAAAACACTGAGGCTATTTTTGAAAAACACAGCTGTCATGTAACCTACTTTTTCTATTTTTTTTAAATTTATTTTGCCTGATGAGCCAAGTAACTTATTTGTAAGTCAATTGTTTGACATACAGCTTTTCAGTCTGTTTATCCATAGTATATACCTTCTGTTTCCTTTAATGTAGCTGGTAACTTCTGCAAATAAGGAAATGCTGCAAGTGCTATTTTGACAGGATATTAGGTAATCTTATATCAATTTGGGCAGAACTTCATGTTCTAGAATTTAGAGCAATATGTTTTTTTAACATAGTGACAGCATTACACAAAGTGGGTTTCACATAGGTTCTTAATCTACCCTAGGTGGTTTTTGCAAATCAGAATGAGAAATTTCTGCTTGTGCCAACTTTTGGTGTCTGCTAGTAGTAATGCTTAAATTTCTGTTATTTCTACTTGTAGTTTGCACCTGAATTCCAAGTTGGGGATGGAATTGGGATGGACTTAAAGCTGTCAAATCAAGTCTTCAATGCCTTAAAGCAACACGCGTACTCTGAGGAACGTCGAAGTGCAAGGCTACATGAAAAGAAGGAGCACTCCACTGCTGTATGTTTTAATAAAGTCTCTCTGTATACTTTTTATCTTGTGTAACAGCTGAACGCTGTTTTGATAATTTTTTGAAACATTCAATTTTTAGTAAAACAGTTAAGCAATATTGTGTTAACATTGCTGAAGGAGACGGTATCAGCCAGCTCCTACTAGAAAAAAGGCTGTCTTTATTTGAGCTGCATTACTGAGAGCCATATAAAAATAAAAGCAAGCAGCTTCCATATTTTTTTTTCCTTTGTCTTCGTAAACTTGTCTCTTAATCAGCTACAATGAATAAACTGCCTAGAAGTTATTCATAGAAACCATCCAGAGGACTAATCCTCTGCAGTTGAACCATGTGGCTCCAAATACCTGTTTTCTTTGCAAGTTTCAGGAAGATGAGGTGACTTAATAATTTAGGAAGTCAGTTCATATGCTTATGGGTGAGTTTAAAGCAGGGCCT